ACTAGGATATAAATTATTTATGCCTAACAGATTGACAATGGCATTGGGAAGAAGTATGTGCTGACATCAGCAATCGGATCTACCACTTTCCAATGCTTGGCGTTCCCTTCTTCTTTAGCCTTGAGCACTCCCAAATTTTACCTTCTCTTTCCGTTCTAATTCCATAATTTCTTTGCCTTATTTGTGCCATTAGAGTACCGCAGAAATGGTGTAATGAGCTCACAGTTAATGCTGCACAGGCCTGTCCTAAGAGACAGGCTAATGTATCAGTATACTAAAAATGTTTGAAATACTAATTTTTCTCCTAATGAGCCTAAACATTTTATTATAGTTATACCTTAATACCAAGTTGCAGGTCATTACCTTCACATATCGAAAGCAGCTGATATTTTGGGGCTTAATGTTTCTGCCATTTGCTTGATGAACCCTCTTCCTTGCCCATTTTATATAGTAGAATTTTAAGTTATGAAAATGAGATCACTTGACAGGTAGTGTGTATGATGTTTTGATTTCATTATTTATTTATTAAAATGTCCTTGCTGATTATAACAATTAATATGTGCTAATCCCATTAAACTTGAATTTTGAAAATGCTAAATGGAGCAAATTAAAAAAAACAATTTATCCTACCACCAAAAGATAATCATTTCTGATTTGGTTCCTACCACTCTTATTTTCAACATACGTTTTCTGTGTGTGCATCAGACAGTGTAAACAACTGTTGGTTTCTTCTTTCATTGGACTACATGTGAGTAATTATCCTTGTATTAACAATTTTTGGAAATGTCTAGTTAAATTACTTGTTAAAATGTGGGAGCGACCTCTCCGCAAGTCCCCCCAGTGCCACGGACATGCGCGAATGAATAAATATGGCCAAGAAAAGATGAGATCTGTTTGGGGGAAAGAGGAGTGGGCTGTGGCCAGTTTCTCAGGGGAGACAAAGGCCAGCAGCGGCCAGTTTCTCCAAGGAGAAAAAGGCCCCGAGTGCCCTCTTCCATAGCCTCTTATTGGGTTGTAATACACAGGAATACAGGGTGGCAAGGATCAAACAGTAGATAACATTACAAAGAAATCTGAGGGCTTACTATGAGTCAGTGTCTGTCAGGAAGAGAGTTGCAGAAACTTTGGGAGACATGCTCATTTCCTCTCGGACCCTTATCATATGAATGAAAGCACTCTTAGCAGAGCAGATTTCACAGGTTAATCAGCAAGTCTTTGTGATGCCAGATTTTTCCCCAGGACACGCTCTAGCAAGGCCAGGAGCTGCACCTCTCCCCATCAGGTATTCAGGCTTAAGGGGATTAGAGCCAGGAAGCACTTCTCCCAGAGAACATGGGGACTCCAGCTTTGACAAAGCCGGGGGACAAGAGTCCATTGCTCTCTGTTGCAGCCCCCCCCCACCAGTCCTTCCATGAAGGCCTCCCAAGTGATCCAGTCTGGCTTAGGTTGCCCCCCGCTGTGAGGGGTCTTACCCGTCATTGACTTCCAACCAAGCTCTGGGGGCAGGGAGAGGAACTGAGGCAGCGTTTGCTACCAGAGACAGGCTTTGTCTCCTGCGCCTGGCATTCCAAAGGTCGTCTCTCTCTCACCCTGCCCTTAGCCACAAGGGGTAGAGATACAATTCCTAAAATCAGGCAGAGCAGTCTACAACATTAAAATAGTAATTTACTTACATGTCTATTTATCCACTCATTGAGAATTATCTTCTTACATTTCTACTGCTCCATCTTAAAAATAATATTGTAAGAACCATCTTTGTGACAAGTATTGATCTGAGTTATTGGCTTACTTAAATGTATCCTAATGGGGAAATATATTTAATATAGTTAAACATTTGTGATATATTATGGTACATGTTTCTAAAATAGAATATGTTTGTTAAAATCCCAGACTCTGAAGTCAGCCAGGCTTATGCAGTAATGCTCACTCCAAATCAACCTGCCTAGGTAACTTTAGGAAAGTCACTTGACCTCCTTAATTCTCATTTTCCTCATCTGTGAAATGGGATGATTGCACATAATGATATATCTCTAAAACTTTTTTTCTTTAAAATCTATCTTTCTTTGTTTAGATTTAGCATCTAACAATCACTAACCATTGTTTTTCTTTTTTTAACGTTTTATTTATTAATTTTTTAAAGAGAGGGGAAGGGAGGGAGAAAGAGAGGGAGAGAAACATTAATGTCTGGTTGTCTCTCACATGCCCCCTACTAGGGACCTGGCCCCAAACTCAGGTATGTGCCCTGACTGGGAATTGAACCAGCAACCCTTTGGTTCATGGCCCAAGCCCAATCCACTGAGCTACACCACTCAGGGCTGTTTTTCTTACTTAACAAGTTTTAGATAAATAATTTGCTTTTCCCCAGGTGGTCAAGTAATCCCTTTCCCACAGTCTCCATCTCCAGAATCCTCAAAGCTCACACTCTGCCATTAACACCAGCAGTATTCTAACAGCTTCTCATGCCCTGTGGGAGGGAATTGATTGGCAGACGGCCTTCCATTTTGCAGGAGGGAGGAGGAGGAGGGATACTGGGTCCTGAGGATATTCTAAGTTTTTGGTTCTGTATTCTCTGCATCTTCTACCTCTTCCTTTTTATTCTAAATGATTCAGAAGCCATCAGGGTTAGAACTAATATTTACCTCAAGACTGCTATGGGTGGACTTGAACTAAAGTAAAACTTCTCAGTAAGCTTCATCGAGGCTTTCCTCATTGTTGGTTTAACACGTGTTTCTGAATTCTGTTCTGCTCCAGACACTGCCATGGGCACTGCGTGGGCCTCGTGGGCTAACTGGAGGTGTAGTGAAGTTGTGTTTTCACTAGCAGAAAGTCTTGGTTATCAAATCTGAGCACCAACATTTCTGTATCACTTACTAGGTTATTATATTAGTTTTATCATACTTTGCCATAGCTTCTAACTCTCTTGGGAAATAGGAAAAAATCTGGCTAAATTATGCTATTCAAAACTATTTAAAATAATATCTACTCTTTTATTAATAAAACATTTAGCATAGTACTTGGTTCATTGAAAGCACTTAATAAATATTGACTATTATTTTAGTATTATCAAGCAGTTATACACTGATCATTGGACAGCAGCAGTAAAAGTTAAATGCAAAAATATTAAAAGTATTTAAATACATATTTTTACTCTGAAAGTGACTGAACTGTTTTTATTTTAAGTGTATTTCCTCAGATTTCAATACCCAGTGGTATAAAACATGCTTTAGGGTTACATTCAGTTTTTATTATTCAGACAAGAAAAGTACATCAAGTCCACAACCTGCCTTTGGTGTAAAGTGCATCCAAATTAAATTCTAATTATATTTATTCTGTTCTCAGAATAGAAAAAAAGGATTCATTTTTTTTTTACTTTTGAAAGATGTTTGAAAGCCCTTTTATCTGGAAAGACTTCTAATTTCTAACATTAATATTCCCTGCTAATCTTGAGAACTTTTCTGAAACTTAAATTTACTGATTCTTCACAATTCTTACAATGCATGTTTACATATTTGAAAACATTCCAAGTTCTCCATGTTCCTTTTAAGTCATAAAGAAGATTAAACATCCCATTTATTAAATTGGGGACAAGGATGTTGTATTTCTTTGCCTGTGGCTACAGTTACAGAATTTTACTACTAATGGCATTTGTTGCATCACTGGTGTGCTTAGGGAAAAACAAAGTCCACTTGGAGTGCAGTACAAGATACTCATATTTTAAAGAAGGGGCAGAAATCAAGGAGTGAATGAGAAAATTTGCATAAGCTAGTTGAAAATGATGAGAAGGAAAACTGTGCAATAATCAAGCTATCTTTAACATTTTAGAATATTTAGGAAGAATAGAAGTATGATTTTTGATTTGGCATTAAAAAATTAAGCTAGAGCTGAAAAAGATACTATATATTGAATGGAAGCAGTATAATGACTTATCATAAACTTTATTTATGGGACTAATATTGCCAATACTCATATTTAATTGGTTAGTGGACATAGAAATTAAATGACAAAATGATGAGAATGAATGTAGCCTATGAGTTGCTGGAGAACAGAAGCCCCTCTTACCCACCACTATGTCCCGGTCCCAGACAAGAAGGGATGCTCAGTACACATATGAGGAGCCAGCCTGAGGGGTGTAGACAGACCCTGAGCTAGGAATTGATGTGCCCGTGCTGATACTTACATATTGGGAACATAGCCATTCCTGTTTCCGTAACACTTGAGTCCACTCACTCTTCCTTTCATTTTCCATCTTTATCCAGTGCCCTTTATCCTTATCCTATTACGGATGACCCAAAAGTCCCAAAGACTTCCAGCAATTTCATCTCACAGACCACAGGCAACACTGTTTCCTTCCCTTCGGTGTCACCTGGCCCTAGCGATTCTGTCTTCGATGATTAAAAGTCTTCTTGCCTTACGTTCTTTTGTTTTCCGACCTATGTTTTTATTTTTGAATGATCATATTTACTAATTACAGCACATAAAGCGAGATGCCCTCTTAGTGCAGTGTTTTTGTGTGTATAGGTTTTTTGTGTGTGGATGATTTATATCATACAGAATAGGGCACAAGTAGGTTTACAGTTGTGAGTATGTGGAACACAGAGTTTATTCTTGTATTATTATGTATTAATTACTGTGTTATTTTCCATATGGACAACTGTGAACCTACTTTTGCCCCATCCTTTGTACAGCATATGTGTGTGTATATAAATAAGTTGCAAGGGTGTGTGCATTTTAGTTTTAGTGCATATTCTAATATAACTAATCAAAAAGATGATTTTCTGAAAAATAAATATTCCAAAATTTAATAGAGATTTTCATGTATTTAAATGATCATTTTGTAACAACTTTCTGTTTAAAAGTATAATAAATTACCTTTTAGTTTAGAGGAGAGTATTCCTGTGGACTTAATAAAACTATAACACAAATTTCTTTTGTGTTACTACATATTTTTGTATATATGTAATATATATGTATACACATTTCTTTTTTTATACACTTTAAAGGATCACATTATAGCATCCTGTGATTCCTGTGGAGTTATAAAACTGTGGGACTTCCGCAAACTCTTACCGATTGTGTCCATTGATGTAGGTCCGAGTTCTGGCAATCGAGTAAACTTTGATTCATCAGGTAAGATTTCGCTTAATAATCATGACCAGTCAAACACCTTTTGTTGTTCTGAAACTATTTTCTGTCTCCACTTTAGTTTTCTCCTATGTAAATTTTTGTTCATGCCATTATATTAGAAAATATTACATTATATTTTATTGTATTTTGTATCATATGTCACATTATGAAAGCACTATATGTATTATACAAGTGAAGGAAGAAGCATAGAGGAGGTAAGTGTGCGTTAATATATAACACAAGTTCCTGGTGGCGCCATGAAAAACCTTGGAGCCCATGTTCCTTAGAATCATCGTGCAAGGTAAGTAAATTATTTTTTCTGAGAACAAAATGGCTGAGAGTAAAGAAAAACAAAAGTTTGAGAAAATAAAAGTAAAACATTTTTAATGAAATAATTTAGTCTTATAAAAATTTGCCAAACTACCCTAGATTCTCTAGATTTTATAATTTATTTGAAATGTAGTAATTGTATTGCTACAATTATGTGCTCTGCACTTTATGTTGTTATTTGGTTGTGTTTAGCATTTTTACAAAATAATATAAACATTATCAATCTGAACTATCATTATTAAGGATGAACTATTGGTATGACGTTGGTTAGTAAGAATATTTAGGTTTATTCATTCATTCATTCATTCATTTTATTAAATTTATTGGGGGGACATGGGTTAGTAAAATCACATAGGATTCAAGTGCACGTTACTGTGACACATGACCTGTACATTGCATGTGTGCCACCACCCAAGTCAAATCCTCTTCCATCACCACATATTGACCCCCTTCCCCCTACCCCCCACCCCCTTCTGTCTGGTAACCACCATACTGTGTTGTGTCTGTGCCTCTGGGTTTCAGTTTTATATCCCATCTATATGCGAAAGTATGTGGTTCTTAGCTTTTTCTGACTGATTTATTTCATGTAGCATAATATTCTCAAGATCCATCCATGTTGTTGCAAATGGCAGTACTTTATCTTTCTTGTGGCTGAGTAGTATTCCATAGTATGTATGTATCACATCTTCTTTTTCCAGTCCTCTACCAAAGGACGTTTTGGTTGTCTCCATGTCTTGGCCTCCATGAATAGCATTGCATTGAACATGGGGGCACACATTCGAAACATGGAAAACTAGGGGGAATATAGTTTCAACCTGACCTTTCCACCCTTTTGATCATTTCTTTAAAAAATATACTATAATTAATTTTCATTCTATCTGTTTGAGAAATTACTGTCATAAGCCTTCTTCTCATTTAATAGTGAGAAATTTGTGCCTCTGTAGAAGAAAAGTGATCTAAATGAAGAGTCATTTAAAGGGGTTGAAATATCTCAAAAGTTGACAAAATGAGGAAGAGCAAACACAAAGTCCAATGAGAGATGTGAAAATCACAAAGCCAAATACCAGAAATTATGTTCATCTTAACCAAGTGAAGAAGAAATTCAAGCCAAGAGCAAAACAAAACCTAAATGAGAATAGAGATGCATAAATCTCTTTTAATCTGTATTTATTCAGGAAAAGAGTCTTTAAAAGTACAATAAAATTATATCATGAAAATATTTGGACTATGAGGGTAAAATCAAATCTAACTTAATAAGCTCAAAATATACATTAATTTGACATACTTTTATTTATTCCCAGTAGCAAGCCAATACAAGGATTTTAAAAAAAGCAGGAGTATATGGACACTCTTAATCAACATTTACTGAGGGCCCACATTAGTTAAGTTGTGCCAACTCACATTCCAGGTTGAAATTCTATGATAGAATTAAACTGCACAGTTCTGTATACCTAGGGATTATTTGTTACAACTTAACTCTGAGACAGATTCTGTTCTGCTTCAGCTATGTCCTGGGACCTGAGCAAAAGTCATTGGAAATATATGTGTAACATCCCTATAATATTATAAAATACACATGAAAATATAGCATTTTGAAATATTTAATATCAGGAATGTTCAGTATTCTAAATTTACATATAAACAAAAATTATAATCATACTTTATGTTTCTGGATCAATTTAATTGAAGAACATCTCGAGATTATGAAGTGTTTTGTTTAAAAGAACTTTTTCCATGTACAATGATTTATCTTTAGAAATAAGGAATTTATTGTCACTGCAAATTCAACACAGTATAGAAATAAATTGGGGAAGGCTCATTAAGAGCCTGAAGTTGTTATCCATAACATTTGACTTATTCTGTGTGTGTGTGTGTGTGTGTATATATATATATATATATATATATATATATATATACCAGAATTGCCTCATTATTTATTAACCTCACAAATAAATATTCTCATTTTGAATTTGTAAAAGTAAGTATGTGCAAATAAAAATACTACTTTACATGTTTTAAAATTGCAGTTTCTTATCATTTCTGTATCATTTAAAAAATGTATCTTTGATAAAAAAAATTTGAAAACCAGAGGTGTAGTAGAAGAGTATATATTATAATTCAGAGCCTTAGGCATTCACACTGTATTTTTATTTTTTTAAATATATTTTATTGATTATGCCATTACAGTTGTCCCATTCCCCCCTTCATTCCCCTCCACCCTGCACACCCCTCCCCCACCATTCCCCCCTTTAGTTTATGACCATGTGTCTCAAGTTCTTTAGATTCTATATTTTCCATACTATTCTTGCCCTCCCCCCTATCTCTTTTCTACCTACTGTCTATGCTACTTATTTTCTGTACCTTCTCCCCATCTCTCCTCCTCCCACTCCCCTGCTGCTAACCCTCCATGTGATCTCCATTTCTATGGTTCTGCTCCTGATCTAGCTGTCCTCTTAGTTTGCTTTTGTTTTAGGTGTGATTCTTAATAACTGTGAGTTTGCTGTCCTTTCACTGTTCATATTTTTCATCTTCTTTTTCTTAGGTAAGTCCCTTTAACATTTCAGATAATAAGGGCTTGGTGATGATGAACTCCTTTAACTTGACCTTATCTGAGAAGCACTTTATCTGCCCTTCCATTCTAAGTGAAAGCTTTGCTGGATAGAGCAATCTTGGATGTAGGTCTTTAAATAAATTATTTAATTTCCCCAAACTGAGGTTCCCCCTGGAAGAAATCACTTCTTATGGTGTTCTAATGTTTTTTGAAAGGATAATGTGTATCCTAAAATGTGGAAATCCTGGTATAGTAACCTACTATGTTATATTCTGGCTAGAAGGAGTCTTATAAAGACATTCCATTCATTTTAGGGATGAGAGAAAAATGTATGTATACATTGGTATGCAAATAAGATGCCTAAGATTGTGTGCCAGTACAGGTTCTACTGAAAACGTAAACACCAATGAATAAATGTTGAAGAAAGAAGAGTCAAACCTCACTTTCATGAAATATTAGAAATAATTTAAGTGGTTACCTAAGAAGTAAAGTTGTATATAACATTACATATATGATGTCATTAAAATCAAATGATTTAAAGATGTGTGAATCACCATCTCGAGTTCAGTTTTTCGGTTGCTTGTACGAAACCTGCTTTTCACACATTTAAAAGAGGCGGTGCATATGGCACCGCGTTATTTACATAATGTTTTATTTGCAAATACATTGCTTGTGACAAACATATTATCAGTGTTTACAGATATATACATATATTAGTATATATTTGTAACTCATGTATTTGTAAAAGGATAAGTGTTTCTTTCTCATTAAACAGAGAAACCTCCTGGTAATATAATGCTACACATTTCTGCCAATATTTGCTATCTAAATAATATCTCTCACTTGGAACACTCAGATGCCATATGTTTTATCATTCGACAATTTATTACAATTTCAGAGAATGTGAAATAGAGTTCCGTAAAGTAATAAAAATGAAATGTGAGAATTTATACTTATGCTTCCACATTTCTCACTTCCTCATGTTTATGTAGTTTAGCAGTACATGCATTTCTCTCCTTTGTCAAAGGTAATTCCAGTATGTTAGCAAAGTCACATTCCTAGATAAGTACAAGAGCTAAAGCTTGAGCCAGATGAGGACTCTCCTGTAGAGAACTTAACAGTGTCAGATCATCAAAATGGGCAAGGTTTCTCTTTGTTTTGGAGAAAAAAACTAAATATTCTCCACAAGCAGAACCACAGTGAAAATGCTAGAATTGGGGCGGGGGGGGGCTGTGTGGGAGGCCATCATTTCACTGGAAAATATGAAAAGTATAAGATCCCTCCAACATTTTTCAAAATATAGTAAAATACCCACAAAAAATCTTTTGTTCAAATTAGATTTATTTATTTTTGTTAGTAAAGGCTTCAGTTCATTGTTTTGTGTATAAAAGACAGACTGTAGTTAATTCTTTCTTACAGAAGCACTGTGGCGTAAGGAGGGAAGTACTCATTGAGAAGTTAGAGAAGCCCTGGTTTTGATTTTTGTCTACAACACGTACTAGCTGAACAGTCTGGGTGAAATTTCTGAATGTTTCTGAGACTTGTATATGAAATAATAAAAACCTATTGGGATTTCCACTTCCAAGATAAACAGGCAGGGACCAGATTTACCCTACTACCTGAAACACCTAAAAATAATTTTAAAAAGAACAGACAAAAGGTATAAAACAGTGTTTTTTCAAACATCAAACATTGGGCAATGAAAGACAGTTATACCTGAGAGAGGGGCAGCAAATAAGCCCTACGAGAGCCCCGGAACACTGCTGGGAGAAGGTTCTAGGTCACAGTTCAGGATGAACAAAAACGGAAGGGACACCTGCAGCCTCCCAGAGTTGAGGAGACAGAGCCGGCCGTCCAGAGAGGCCAGGGCAGCCGGAATGTACAGGGCAGACTACAGGAGGGAGAAAGCCGCAGAGAGTGAGCTCTGGAGATGTGCGGGAGATGTCTGCTGGTCTTCAGCCGAATAGGAATTAGTATCTGCTAACCTAAGGCCAGGGGAAAAAGGCCTGTCTGCAGAGCTAAAAGGAAAGTTCCCCAGGGCTCATCCAAATCTAGAAACAGTTTGTGTCCCCACCAACCAGGGTGAAAAAAAATCTTGCAATTCAAAGACAGTTGCTAGAGC